CTACTTGGGAGGTAGAGGCAGGATACTCGCTTGAGCCCAGGAGTTGGAGGTTGCTGTGAGCTGTGATGCCACAGCACTCTACCCAGGTGGACAGCTTGAGGCTCTGTCTCAAAAAAATAACTTTTGTAATGACCCACATATTTTCTTTGGTGAACGGCATTCACTTAAACATATTTGGGAGTTTCATTCATGTAACAGATATCATCAGCACCTGGTTCCTTTCTATTGCTGAGTAATATCCATCGTATGGATATACCAAAGTCTGTCTCCCCCCTTCAGCAGCTGATGGACATCAGATTGTTTTCACTTTGGGGGTATTAAGAGTAATGCTGCTAGGAACATTTGTGTATAGGATTTTGTGTGGACATGTTTTTAATCCTCTTGAGTGGAATTGCTGGGTCATCTGATAACTCTGTATTTAATTTTGAGAAACTAACTACTTTCTTCCACAGCAGCTGTGCCATTTACATTCCCACTAGCAACATGCAACAGTCTCAACACTCTAATTGTACCCAAAGAGGTTGATTAACTCCCCAGCCTCAACACATGCCTCTTAACTCGTAAACCTGTGGTAATTAGCTACAAAAACAAGAGTAAAAACCACAGTCAACTAGAAGGAAGAATTTCTGTAATTCAGGAAAAAAATGAATTTTTTATTCCTATGTAAGTCTTCTTCTCAAATATCATTGTTCATCTTTGTTGTTGTTGTTGCAGTTGTTTAGCTGGCCTGGGCCAGGATTGAACCTGCCACCCTTGGTGTATGTGGCTGGCGCCATAACCACTGAGCTATGGGCGCCAAGCCAATATCATTGTTCTTTTCCTTAATAGATGTTCAAGACTGTACTTTGTAAATTATTGCAATTACTCTTTTTCACTCAGATTTTTTCCAGAGTTTATAGCTGTTACAGCCTCTCACCCTAAACTACTGCCACGCCATGATCTGTAGACCAGTGGTGATGATCGTTGATCATCTGGTCCAGCCCCCTCATGCTGCAAGTGAGAAACTTCTGGACTGCATTCTTAAGGCTGTCAGTGAACTCTGGTACCTTCTCGGGACATGGTGGTGCATCTGGTGCCCTTCTCTGAAGAGCACTCTGTTCCTCTGGCTTTCACTCCAGGTGCAACATCAGCTACTTAGAAGAATGGCTTAAAGATAAGAATTTGCAAAACAGCTTAGCCAAGGAAACTTTGGAACCCCTCTCTCAGGCAGCCTGGTTGCTTCAGGTCAAGAAGACCACAGACAGTGATGCCAAGGAGATCTACGAACGTTGTACCTCACTGTCCGCTGTGCAGGTGACCAGGTTTGCTTATTGTGTCTCTGGATCCTCCATGACTGTCTCTGCAGTTGGCATTGCCTTTCCTGGCTCAGCTAGCTGTGGATGACTCTGTGTTCTCTAGGGAACATAGTCATATGGCCCATCTTTTTATCTGATAAGCATCTATTAAATACTAACTCTAGGTCTTAAAAATACAAAAATGTCTATTACACATCCCTTGCCCACTAAACTTACTGACGCATATGTGTGGGGGTAGGCAAGTGGAGGTGGGGCAGAGGGGGTCCTCCTACTGCATCTAATTCTGTGATCTGTCTTTGCTCCCTTCTGCACTCTTCTCTTGTTGTTTTTTCTTTTCTTGGAAATAGTTAATACACTGTTCTCAGCCAAATTATAGGATAAAAGAACTACCTGTGGTTCCCAGTGGTCTCCAAACCACCAGAGTCATTATTTCATGAACAGAGTTATTTCTTCTCATGGTCTAACACCATGTCATGTAATGTTTGCAGATCATAAAGATCCTTAATTCATATACACCCATAGATGACTTCGAGAAAAGAGTGACTCCAGCCTTTGTTCGCAAAGTACAGGTGAGATCTTTAATAGTGTGCCTTTTAATTTGGCCTCCTAAGTGTGATATAAGAGACTGATATTTAATTAACATCGTAGAAATACAGGATTAAAATGCTTTTACCAGATGTGCAGATGAAAGGCACCCAGCTCAAAGGCAACAAGAATTTTCCCTGTCAAGTTCAAGATCAATTTTAGTGGGAAGGGAATGAAAACACCCAAACTGTGCCTCACATGCTGTGCTCCTTCAGTCGTCGACTTCTGTGCAAGTGGGCATAGGCCGAGTAGAAGCAGCCATTTTTCTTATATTGTCATTTTATAAGCATTTTTATACAACTATTTTTTCTTATAAATTCCCTAAAGTTTTTCCGCTAATGAACTAGGGCAGCAGTTCTCAGAATTTGGTTTAAGGATCTCTGAGAATCCTTTTCCTGGGTTCTGCAAAATTTTCCTTTTTCTAAATACATATCTATGTGAGATAGGATTTTCTTCAACCAAAATGACTTATCACAACAGATTGAATGCAGAAGCAAGTATATCATGTGTAAGTCTTATGTAAGTCAGATAGTAAAGAGATTGAAAAAATATATACAACAATACCACTTCTCTGCTGGGCACGATCACGCTTGCCTATAATCCTAGAACTCTGGGAGGCAGAGCTGAAAGGATTGCTTGAGCTCAAGAGTTTGAGAACCAGCCCAAGCAAGAGCAAGACTCCATCTCTACAAAAAATAGAAAAAATTAGCTGAGTATAGTGGTGTGCACCTGTAGTCCCAACTACTCAGGAGGCTGAAGCAGGAAGAGAGTTTGAGCCCAAGAATATGAGGTTGCAGTGAGCTATGGTGATACCACAGCACTCTACCCAGGGCAATGGAGCATACTGTCTGAGAAACAAAACAAAACAAAAAACAAAAACTAAACACTTCTGACTAAATTTTCTTTGTTCTGTAAAATGATGTTTAATATCTATTTGGTTTATTATTTTAATGATTAACAAATATTTATAATTATCATTTTAATACTAATCTGGTAAATATCAATATTGATACCCACATACACATAAAGCTCTCTGGGGTCCTCAATAATTTTTTTTTTTTGAGACATAGTCTCACTATGTCATCCTCAGTAGAGTGCTCTGGCATCACAGCTCACAGCAACCTCAAACTCTTGGGCTTAAGTGATTCTCTTGCCTCAGCCTCCCAAATGGCTGGGACTACAAGCACCCACCACAATACCTGGCTATTTTTTTTTTTAATTGTAGTTGCCATTGTTGTTTTAGGAGGCCTGGGCTAGGCTCGAACCCATCAGCTTCAGTATATGTGGCTGGCGCCCTACTCACTGAGCTATGGGTGCTGTCCTCAATAATTATTAAGAGTTTAAAGAGGTCCTGCGACCAAAACGCTTAGAAACCACTGAATAAAGAAGAAAGACGGAGGGTGGCACCCGTAGCTCAGTGGGTAGGGCGCCGGCCACATACACTGAGGCTGGTGGGTTTGAACCTGGCCTGGGCCAGCAACAATGACAAGTGCAACAAAAAATAGCTGGACCGTGTGGTGGGTGCCTGTGGTCCCAGTGCTTGGAAGGCTGAGGCCTGAGGATCACTTGAACCCAGGAATTTGAGGTTGCTGTGAGCTGTGACACCATGGCACTCTACCCAGGGCAACAGCCTGAGACTCTGTCTCAAAAAACAAAAAAAGAAGAAGAAGAAAGATGGGTTTAGCGAAAATGTGAAACTTCACCTCTGTGCATGTTGGAGCTTAAATTAGGCCGTGAAAATAGATTAGAACACATGTGGATTTGTGATCAGTCCATCCATTAACTTCTGAGGTGAAACAAAGTAAGTATTCATGAGGGCTGGCCTGGAAGCCCTGAAGAGACCTTTCACCTCGGAATTTGCGGGTAACAGCCCTCGTGTGCCATTTCCCGTGCTTTTGGAAGGAGCTCTTCACCGAAGACATGGTTGTTTCTCTGACTCTTGACTTTCAGGTGGCAGCAAAGCAGGATGTACCTATTTCCTTGTTCATTTTTCCTCTGGTTCTAATTTCAGGCTCTCCTAAATAGCCGGGAGGACTCCTCACAGCTGATGCTGGATACCAAATACCTCTTTCAAGTCACGTTTCCTTTTACCCCCTCTCCGCATGCCCTGGAAATGATCCAGATCCCCAGCAGCTTCAAACTAGGCTTTCTCAATAGGTTATAGCAGGAAAAAGGTCCATGCACCTTCCCCTCCAAAGCTAAGTGAAGGTCAAAATGGGGGATGTAGTTTGTTAATTACAACTGGAATGCTTTGGAGTGTGATGTCAGGAAGAAAATAGAGCTTTCCCAATGGGCTACATCATCTCTCATTCATGGGGACAGAGCTGCTGCCCTAGTTTTGCAAGAATTAACACACACACCAGCCGTGGTTGGAAAGGCCACGTCTTGCTTTGGAATCTCGGCTGCTTTTATTGGAATACCTGGAAGGCTTCTGTCTCCTTCCAGGTGTCTCTTCTGTCTTGTGACAGGGCTCTACAAGGAGAGAGTGAGAAACGGGGACATAATGGCTCCCAGATTCACAAGAAGCCCAGGTCCATTTATGAAGCCACAAGTGGGTTCCAGGGCTGAGTCTTCCAGGACATAACCTCATTTGGCTACCAGACCCTGCCAGAAAAATACTTCTTGTCCCCTGCCCGCTGTGGGAGTGCGATTCGTTAACTCTTTTCATGGAAAATGCCCCTGCATAAAAATTGTTTCTTTTAGATCCCTCTAACTTTTAAGAGAATATCCGATCTGAAATGAATCTTATGAAGTCTTCTATGTATTTGCCTCTTTAAGGCTTAGTTGCCATGCCATTTATCTTCTCTGTTCTCCTGAAAGAACATTTTCTTAAATTTTATCTGCCAGCATAATTTGCCATAAATTTTAATGTTTGGTATCTTTTATATAATAACTTTTTAAAAGACTAAAAGGCAACCTAAATGATTTTCTCTATCTAATCAGCATTCTGATATATTTATTTTCAAATTTTCTCATAGAAATAACTGAAGAATTATGTCTGTTCCTCCTTTGGAGAAATCTACGTTTCCCAAGTTTTATGGGACCTGGCTATTCCTTGTCCCCCCAAATCTTTTCATTCCTTCCTTTTAGAGCATAAAACACCATTGAATGAGCACCCCTGGCCTGTGACCTACAGATCCAAGGCTTTTCTGCACCCAACTCCCCCTTCTGACAGTCACAGGCAATAGCTGTGATCCTATACACATACTACAGACATCTATCTTAGGAGTGGGACTAATATATGATTATCAAGCAACACCACTCTCCTAATATGTAAGGTCTTTTCATGTTATAAATGATTTAGTTTAGTTCATTTCAATACATTGTATATGAAGAAATGAAAAGTAGAACTTTGTAATACTTTAACCAATAAAATAAATTACTGAATGAATTGGGTCACATTCTATTAATTACTAGATTACATGTCCCTTAAGTACACAAGTTTTATGCCTTTCTTTAAGGCTCATGCTGAAAGATGCTAGACTCTGTATAGATTTATAATGTCTCATTAAAAATACATAAAAATGTTTAGATAGGAAGAAAACACGTCTCCGGGGGCTCCCACACTACATCAGAGTGAGGGGCTGCTTGACAGAGAATTGGCTGCATTCCTGATCCTCATGGCGGCCTCAGTGCCCTTTCTAGACCTTCCCCACCCCAGGAGGAGCCATCACTCTTCCTTTTTGGCTCCCACAACTCAGGGCTCCGGCCTTTTTTACAGCACTTACCCCAGGCTCTCTGTTGGCCTGTGAGCTCCGGAGGGCGGGCACCACATCCCATGCATCCCTGCCTTCATCCTGCCACCGGTGATCTGGGAGAGGTCCCAACCAGCAAAGTTCTTTTGGAGGGGACAGATATTGAGGGTGCGTGTTGTCATGGGGGAAGGAGGGAGGTATCAACCGTGATAAAAGTGATCTTGTTTGGGAACGAAGAGACCCACAGAAGCCAAGGAGTATACATGAGAAGGAGGCACCCACCCCACAGTCTTGATGAGTTCTACAAAGCTGAAGGTGGGCAGGGTAGCCAACATGGAGCAGTGCAGATGACACGCAGTCACGGGTGAATGTCAGGCCTGTTCAGCAAGTGGGCGTGACACAGAGGTCAAACTGCCAAAGTCAGCCCCCACAGGGGTTAGGAGGGTGCCTGGCAGGGTGGATGGGTAGAAGGTTCAAGGGGTGAGGGGGTGATGCCTCTGGCAGCACGTGTCCCAGCAGGGAGCGCGGACTGCAGGTGGGCGGAAGGCAGCAAGCAGAGCTGGGCCGGCCAGATAAGGAGATTAGCCGTGCAAGGTGATTTCGCACCTTGGCACCTTGGCTCTAGCTGCTTCTCCTCACAGTTCCGCTTGGCAGTTCCCAGTGCTGACTCTGCAGAAGGTAGGCGCTTGCACATTAACATTTAATACGAATGCTCTGGTTTTCTGAAATGCTCAGAAAAGTGTCCAGATAGGCACATATCAAGGCATTAACGGGGGTCTTCCTGTGCAGGGGGAGCACAGGTGTGGGCTTTCTTAATTCTGATTTTAAATATCGTATGTTCTAATTTTTCTATCATTCCACATGAATTTATTTGGAAATAATAAAAAGATGTTTTGTTTTTAAAATATATCAATATGGGGATCAGCAAAAAAGATGAGGCATCTTTAAAATAAATCAGTTTTAGAAATTGATCCAGGCAGTATGTCTTAGGATGACCTAAGCCTCCCAATGCAGTTCACGTAATAGAAAGAGGGTTTGGACACTGAATGTTTTATAGTTGCAGTAAGTCTGTGAAAGACATCCACATCCTTCTATCAGCAGTTTGTACTTTCTTATTCTATGAACATACCACAATTTATCTAGTCTATCATGTGGTGGACATTTGAGTTTTTCCAGTTAGGGCTCTGATGACTAAAGTTGCTATGACAGTCTTCTTATTTTTCCCCTAGGGAAATAACAGTATATATCCTGGAGCAGAGTTGCTTGGTCATAGAATATTTACGTATGTTGAGTTGTAGTGGGTCCTACCAAGCACTTTTCCAAAGTAGTTGTGCCAATTTATGCTCCTCCCAGCAGGGAAAGACATTTCCACTTCTCCACATCCTCACCCACACTTGGTATTGTAAGTCCTTTTAATTTTAGGTGTTCTGGTGAGCCAGTCGTCTTAGCCTGTTGTGGTTGTAATGTGTATTTCTTTGATGACTAACAGTGTGGCTGTGTTTATCGGCGATATGCATATCCTCATTGGGGAGGTAACTATTCACGTTTTCTGCCCATTGGTAAAATAACTTTCGCTGAGATATAATACAACATAAAACTCACCATCTTAAAATGTGTATGTCAGTAGTTTTTTAGTTTATTTACAAGGATATGCAATCCTCACCACTATCTAATTCCAAAGACTCTGTCTCTAAAACAAAGGATGTTTTCCAAGAATACACAATGACATGTGAAGATGAAAATGCTATTACATAAAACAACTAAAGTCCAAAATCATATATGGCATATAATAGCATTTTGTAAAAGGTACATATATACTTATGAAGACAGGAGAAGAAAACAAAAGAATGGCAACAAGTCAGTTGTTTGTTGGTGGAGGGCATAGAGATGATTACTTTTCCAAGTCTTTCTGTTTCCAATTATTATAATTATTAGCAGCTTTTATAATTTAAAAAAACCAAGAAAATGCCATGAAGGCTACGTTAACCTGTTTGATGAAAATATTTCAAATTGTATATAAAACCAGCACATTGTACCCCATGACTGCATTAATGTACACAGCTATGATTTACTTTAAAAAGTAAAAAATTAAACAAATCATTTAATTGAGGGGAAAAAAAACCAAAAAACAAAATTTGGTCTGAGAATAAAAACTGTATCTAGATTTGAAACATTGGCAGAGGAAATTACAAAGGAAATGCCTGTTATTTCGGCAATGTTTTTCTTTTTTTCTGTCTTTCTGGTTTTTTATCTCTCAGAACTCCCAACCATCCTATTCCTCCTCCGCTGGGTCCCCTGGGTTCCTCCCGCCTTCCATTCCTGAGCCGTAACTCTGTCCAGAGCTCATTTCCTCTTTTCTTAACCTAGTTCATCTCCTGCTGTCCCTTCTCTCTCTGACCTATTTCTGGAAGCACAAATGCTGGAATAATCCACTCAAATAATGTTGTTCCCTTGCTTAAAAACCCGTGGCTCACTAACGCTAATCCTTGGAATCCTCAGCCTGACCTTGTTACCGCCACCTTTGCAGGGTTGGGGAGTGGTAACAATTTCCAAGCCCTCACCATAGGTCAGGCTCTGGTCGGCAGGCCCTCTTGCATTCTTTAACTCATCTTTTGTGACAAAACTGAGCAGCCTGACCAGGCTAGCTCCACAGTAAGAGCTGTAGTCACGCTATTTACAGACTTAGGCTCCATCACTGACCTTGAACTTGTTTCACCTCCCTGTGTGTCCTCAGCTGTAACACAGATGTCCTGCCTCCCTCTCAGCCTGATTGTGAGAGACCAGCACTGCATGGTGGTCAGTAGCTGGCTCCCCTGTGAGCTACTGTCCCTAAGGGGCAGCCCTCTATCCTCTGCACCTAATGTTCTCAAGAGCTGTGCTGGCTGCCCCTCTGCCCTAGCGGTTCAGCCCACTCATGAGCTCCTGATTCTCTCTCTAGCTCTATGGTGACCTCTGTGTGACAGACATTCCCCATCACCTCCCCCACAAATACATCCCTCTCAAATTCAGCTCTGATGAAATGTTCAGTCCAATGCCCTGAAATATCTTTATGCCCACGGGGTCATTTCTTTGAATCTTAACGTGACTCACTCTTTGGAATACCTATCAAATTGACAGGGCTGGCTCAGCACAGTGACCCAGGTCTGTAATTCCAGCACTTTGGGAGGCCAAGAAGAGAGGATTGCTTAAGGCCAGGAGTTTGGGACCAGCCTGAACAACATAACAAGATCCCATCAGTACAAAAAAATAGAAAATTGGGGGCAGTGCCTGTGGCTCAAAGGACTAGGGTGCTGGCCCCATATGCCGGGGGTGGTGGGTTCAAACCCAACCCCGGCCAAAAACTGCAAAAAAAAAAAAAAAAAAAAGGAAAAATTAGGCAGATGTGGTGGTGCCTGTAGTCTTAGCTACTTGTGAGGCTAAGTCAAGAGGATCACTTAAGCCCAGCAGTTCAAGGCTGCAGTGACCCCTGATCATCCCACTGTACTCCAGAGAACAGAGTAAGACTCTGTCTCCAAAAACAAACAAACAAAAAATTAACAGGGCTAAGCTGGCTGCTTCCTTCCCCCTTGACATCTCTGTCCTCCATCTCCATCAGTGGCATCACAACCCTCAGTCTTCCAAACAAACCTCAGCCACATCCTAGCCGTCTCCCTGTCCTCATTCCCACACTGTGCCAAGTCTAGCTCCTTCCCCTTTCCCTCCTTCCTAACCATCGTCCAAGTCCATCTCGTTGCAGTGCTTTCTCCCCAGTGTACTGCCTGAGCTGTTGCCATGGGCTCCTCATGCTCTTTCCTCACTATCTCCTGCCACCCTTCCTTCCCCAGGCAGCAGCCACTGCTATTGCTGCCAAGCAGGGCAGCATGACCTTGGTGGCGCACATTCACTGTACTGCCAACTTTGAGCTAAGTGCTTTATGTACTGTCTCTTATGATTCCCCTGACAACCCCAGGAGGGTAGATTTTAAGGTCTCTGTTTAATTGATTAGCAAAACAAACCTTCAGAGAGGTCAAGTAACTGGCCTCAGTAGAACCAGGAACTGGACAGCGACCCTGTGCCTCTAACCATCAGACAGTTTTGCATCTTCAGGAATGCCTCCCGTCAGGGACCTGGGCCTGCCTGTTGACTTCTGCATGAACAGGCAGGACCTTGGGTCTTTGGCTGTCAAATGTTTAATGAGTGGGTGGCTGCCTTGCAGGGAACCAACACCACACTTACACAGCCTCATGGCTTTGGCTGGGGTCAGGCTCCACCATTTGCTGACTCTTGTCTTTGCTCTAAAAGTCTACCCCAAAGGGAGAAATGTTTTTAGAAGTTTTAAATTATAGCATCCGTTACAGCAACATTTCCCATTGTGAAACCCCGCAGAATTGATATTGTGCTGCCAAGATCAATCCTGACTTCATCCACAAACTGCCAAAACAATCGGCAAAATGTGTTACCTACTGTCTGATGCTTTGTCACTGGTTAAACAAATGAGTTGTGTTCATACAACTTGTAATAAATCAAAGATTACAAATTAATGGCATACACTGTATGCCTCCTGTCTGAGCAGCTACCATGATAAAAAGAAGAGGTTGTACAAAGTTAAAACCATTGGCTTTTCTCATGCCCCCCCTTTCACTTTTTTTCAGCTTCATCTTGCATAAAAGATGTGTGATCAGACCTTTCTAGTTAATGTATTTGGCTCGTGTGATAAATGTTTCAAACAAAGGGCCCTGAGACCAGTTTTCAAGAAATCTCAACAACTCAACTACTGCTCAATATGTGCAGAAATTGTAAGTGCTGCATTTTTCTTTTTAAATTTTGGGTGCCTATCTTAAGATAGTATTTAAGAGTCCTCTGGCAGATGAGTTACCATGGAATCAGTTTACACAACACAAAGTTTTCAGCACATCTGGGCTTCACAGGGGATCAGGGTGTGGACTGGAGTGTGTGACTGCCTGGGTTCAAATCCTATTTATGTTCCTAGTTTGGTGCACCAAGGAGACTCTCACTTCTCTCCTCAAGCCTGTTTTCCCACCTAGGAGACAGGAATACAAATAGCATCTGAATCATAGGGTTTTGTTACGATCAAAAGAGTTTATTTAATAAAGTGTTTAAAACAACACCCAGAAGCACTCCATGAATGACTTAGCTGTTATTATTTCTTAGGGCTAAGGCTTTTTTCTTCTGTCTTCTGCCAGTCTGCCTGGCAGGCAACCAAGCTAAAAAAGAGTCTGGCAAAAAACAACCCGGGAGCACTTTCCCAAGGACCCTGTTGCACCTGTTATAAGGAGAGCTTCATTAAAGACTGAACCATACAGGGCCTATAGGGAGCAAAATTAGGCTCAAAAAGTGCTCGTTGGGCCTAAGCCTTCAGTGAAGGCTAGGAATTAAATACAAATCCTGGCATTTTTCAACGTACACAAAGTGAAGTTTTCACCAGAGGTGACTATGCATAAGCTTTAGATCTTGCAGCAGAAATGCCCACAACATCCCTGAAGCCTTAGGAATTTGGGTCCTATCTCAGAGTATTTGCAGAGCTATGCCCAACGGTGTGGCTCAGTGGAGCCCCCACCTGGTGAAAAGTGGTAAAGCACGCCTCCAGAAAAGCCCAATAGGAAATCCCCAGGTTATCAACATACTAAATATGTATGTATATCAAAGAGAACAAAGATGGCTTTACATTTTATCCAACTGAGAAAGAAAAGGCTTCTTAGCCTTTTGATTCCATTGTAAGCCTTCACATTAATTACATTTTAAAAAATGATTCCTAGTGAGCTGGATGAGGTGGCTCATGCCTATAATCCTAGCACTTTGGGAGGCCAAGGGGGCAGGATCCCTGGAGCTCAGGAGTTCAAGACTAACCTGAGTAAGAGTGAGACCCCCATCTCCAGCAAAAATAGAAAAACTAGCCTGGCACTGTGGCAGGCACCTGTAGTCCCAGCTACCGGGGAAGCTGAAACAAGAGGATAGCTTGAGCCCAAGAGTTTGAGGTTGCTGTGAGCTATGACCCAGGGTGACAGAACGAGACTCTGTTTCAAAACAAACAAACAAAAATTGTTCCCATGAAACACATGGCAAGTATTAATACACAGTTTAGGATGGCAAAAAAAAGGCTTTGGTACAGAGTAGTAATTCTGATGTCTCTTCAGGCTTGGTGTAATGGGCTTCTACCGGCAGTATATTCTTAACTTTGCTCTACAAATTTTAAGACCGAAGACATTCAGATCTTAAAACAAGCCTGCTTTCTGAAGGGGGGGTTACCCTCCTATTATTTATTAATCTAACCCTTTTGCTTTTTTTTTTTTTTTTTGAGACAGAGTCTCACTCTTTCACCCTGCGTAGAGCACCATGGCAGCATAGCTTATGGCAACCTCAAACTCCTGGGTTTGAGCCACCCTCTTGCCTCAGGCTCCTGAGTAGCTGGCAACCCTTCTGCTTTTTAAACAACTTCCTCTGTAAGCAGAATAAGCCAAGAATTCCAGATTTGGAGGTCTTCAGTAGCATTATAGGTTCTCCCAGCTCAGAGGCCCTACCTGGAGATACTTTCTAGGGGATTATCACTGGTTATCCCCACAAGCACTTGGAGCTCCTCAAATAATTCAGACAGCACCTCTTAGCTGAGGAGACTATAATGAGTGACTGTGACTTTTCATCCAGGAGTTTGGGATTCTGTGGACATAGCCCCTCCTTTTCATGAATAGAGGCGACCTTCTAACTCAACCACTGTTATCAGTGGTTACTCAACCACTCAACTTTTCTTATCTCCAGCTTCTCCCCTTCTAAAAAGGAGTTAATATACTGGGAGGCTGAGGTGAGTGGAAGGCTTGAGCTCAGGAGTTTGAGACCAGGCTGAGCAAGAGCCAGACCCTATCTAAACCAAAACAAGGAAGAAGGGAAGGAAAGGTTAGTCAGGCGTTGCGGCAGGTGCCTGTAGTCCTCCCTACTTGGGAGGCTGAGGCAAGAGGCTCACTTAAGCCCAAGAGTTTGAGGTTGACGTGAGCTATGATGCCATGGCACTCTAGCCTGGGCAACAGAGTGAGACTCTATCTCAACAAACAAACAAAGAAAAAATAAAATAAAAAGGAGTTAACATCTAAGTACAGGAAACCACTTTTGCAAACTTTGCCCAACCAGTAAAAGTTACATGGCCTCATCTCTGGACAGCTGACTGTCCAGCTTAGTGTATGTCCGGGGTTTATTTCACACAGGAGGGCACACACCTGTGTGAAGAGGCCCCTTCATAGACAGGCAGACCCTGAGCCAGGTGCACACACGTCCCAAGATGGTCCAAGGAGATGATATAGTGCCTGGGCCTCCTAACGTGGGCCTAATGTCCCCCACGATGTCATGCGAATTGCTCCAGTGTACCAGACAGCCTCGGTGATAACAGTGAGCGGTACTGCGTGCCACATCACTTGCTCTGAATGCTGCGCTATCCCCACTTACAGCTGAGGAGGCGGTAACACACAGAAGTCGGTCACCTCCCGGCCATACAGCAGAGTCGGGTTTGCCCCAGGCAGTCTGATCTAGATAGAGCTGGGCCTCACTTTTCCCACCGGTAAAATGGGCACGACGCTCCCTGCCTCTCCGGGATGGTGCTCAGCACCACGCTGCCTCGGGCACCGCCCCGGGCCCTGCGCCACCAGCGCGGCGGGCGGAGGTCGGGTCGGCGGTCGCGGCCGGGCCCGCAGCTGCTGGCGTCACCGCCGGAGGGCGGGGCAGGGGCGGCGCTGGGGGGACGCGGCCGGAGCGGCGCCCGCCGCGGCTCAGCGCATCCCCGCTCCCCGCTCCCCGCTCCCCTCCCGCCGCGTCCCCGCGCGAAGATGGCTACGGACGGGCTGCACGAGAACGAGACGCTGGCGTCGCTGAAGATCGAGGCCGAGAGCCTCAAGGGCAAGCTGGAGGAGGAGCGGGCCAAGCTGCACGACGTGGAGCGTAAGTGTGGCCGGGACAGGGGCGCGGGGAGGCCGGCGGGGCGCAGGCGGGGCGGGGAGCGGCCCCGAGCCGGACCGGCCCTCGCAGGGTCGGGCGCCGCAGGACCCCATCCGCCGGCGGAGGGCCGAGGGACGGGCTCCGTCGTCGCCGGCCTGGACGATGCCGACTGTCCGCCTTCCTGCCCCTCCCTGGCGGGGGCTGGCGGGGGCGGGGTGTCGGTGGTGACGAGCGCAGCGAGCCCGTGTGGGCGCGGCCTGGGAGAAACCCCGGTTTTGTTTTTGAATCATCGCCTGGCTTTCCCAATACTATTGTGTCGTTTCTCAGTTTTGCGTTTACGGGGAACGAGACTGATTTCAAAGCTTATTTTTCCAACCACTCCCTTCCCTTTGCGGATGGGGAGAAGGGGAGCGGGGGAAGGGAAGCGGAGGAGCTTACTAAATCCAGCCTTTAAGTTCGCTTCCAGGGGTGTCCAACCCTCAGCCCGCGGGCCACAAGCAAATTATGTGAGGAGTTTGGGGCTTATCTGTGGTGGCGGATACTATGTATCACGAAAATTACACACAGACCATTTTTTTTCTTTTTCTTTCTCCTTTTTTTTTCTTTTTGCTCATCATCTTTCATTGCAGTTTGTGTATTTAATGTGTGGCTCAAGACAACTTCTTCCAAAGAAACCAAAAGATTGGACACCTCTGCAGGCTTTTGGATCAATGTGTGTGATTGGCATAAAAGAATAGTATCAGTCTTACATTATTGATCACCACCACAATTCAGAACTGTCTCTGTGATTTTAAGAGTGAGCTTAAATAGCCAGGATCCATGACTCTTGGTTAGAGCAGCTTTCCTTTACTTGGTCAGGTGGTTCATCTTCAGCAGAGCTTGGCCTGAGTGCTAGGGGCCAGGCTTGGGAAAGGGGTTTCATCTGCTTACTTTTCAGCTGTAGGGTGGCTGCTCTCTTTGCTGAGCAAGGCATACCCGCAGTATTCTCACACATACCTAGACATTTTGCTCTTGCCATTCCTAATTGGTACCACCCTTTAAATTCAATTTAGAAAAGAAAAATGGGGTTCGTGCAAGGGCCCTTAGTATTTGACTTCTTTGAAAATCGCTTTATAGAAGTAAATGACCTGAATTGAGAGTGTGCTGTACTCTCTCCTATGGGCTTCCTTTAAATCAGTGGTTCTCAACCTTCTTAATGCCGCCACCCTTTAATACAGTTCCTCATGTTGTGGTGACCCCCAACCACAAAATCATTTTTGTTGCTACTTTATAACTGTAATTTTGCTACTGTTATGAATCATAATGTAAACATCTGATATGCAGGATGGTCTTAGGCGACCCCTGTGAAACGGTCATTCAACCCCCAAAGGGGTCGTAACCCACAGGTTGAGAACCACTGCTTTTAAATAGAAGGTACTCTAAGCTCCTGTATTGTTTAGAAATGTGTCTAGCTATAATTAGCCCTAACCCCCAAAGAAAGTAGTCAAGCAAAGTGGAAGTTAACTTTCTTTTATAATAAGAACAAAGGTTTGTTTCAACACTTTGTTTTATCTGTGTGGTATACCATTAGGGACCCAGGGTCCTTCCTTTCTTCTCCACATGTTACAGCACTGGCATTTGCCCCATGATTATAAAATAATTGCCACAGCTCTGGACATCACTTCTGCATCCCACACAGGTAAAAGTTTGCTGCTTCTTATCAGGAAAGCAAAGATTTTTCCAGGGACCATCCTCTCTTCCCCTAGATTTCTATTTGCATTTCCCTGGTCAGAACTAGGCCACATGGCTACAGGCACCAAATTGTAAATTGCCTTAGGGCAGAAAGATAGTGGAGGTGCAGCTTTTCAGCCTCACTCCCTGGAACCTCAGAGAGTGAATTTGTTGAGTCCAAGAGAAGAAGTTGTTGCTGCCCTGCCAAGAGTGCAATGCCTGAAAAGCCAGGCTCAAATTTTGAGCCCACCATGGAAAGGTCTGTCCTTACTTGCATATGTCAGAGTTTGGGGGCTCAAAAGACCAGGAGGCATGTGGTAGTGTTCCCTTTTATTCCCCTGTACCTGTCAGACCACTTCTCTTCCACCCCCTTTATAAAGTCCTCGCTCCTTTAAGGATCTTGTAATTCAGCTGACCTGTCCCCTTTTGACATGTCTCCTGTCTCTCCTTCCTTCTTTTCTTTTTTTTTTCTAGATAGAGTCTCACTCTGTTGCCCAGGCTAGAATGCTGTGGCATCAACCTAGTTCACAGCAACCTCAAACTCCTGGGTTGAAGCCACCTTCCTGCCTCACCCTCCTGAGTAGCTGGGACTACAGGTGCCCACCACAACACGTGGCTACTTTTTCTATTTTTCTTGCTCTTGCTTAGGCTGGTCTTGAACTCCTGAGCTCAGGCAATCCACTCACCTCAGCCTCCCAGAGTGCTGGGATTACAGGCATGCGCACCATTGCTCCTAGCCAGTTCTCTCATTTCTTAAAGACTTTGGCATTTTTAGGACTGCCTTGAGTCTTGTTTTCAACCCTAAGCCCTATCCCATCCTCGGTGTCTTCAGGGTCCATGGGGGTGCCCCTCATGACATGCTGGCCCCTCACCATGCACCCTGCTGCACACACAGCTGAGATCTGTCAGCACTCAGGACTGCTCCCCCAAAAACTTCTGCGTGCTGCCATCTGTCCTGGCCAGTCTCTCCCCAAGGACCCTGGCTGTCTTTTCCCTGAGTCTCTAGACCCTTCTTTTCTTCTTCCCTCCTTGTCCAGCTTTGAGACTTTGGCTCATCTCAGCAGCAGCCCTGCCAAGTAAACAAATACCTTACCCTCCTATCTCCATCAAAGCCCTCCCACAGAACCTCAACTCTCTCTCCCTCTTGTCCCTCCCTCCCTCTCTCCCTCCTCCTCCCTCTCTCTTCCTCCACCCCTTTCCAGCCTCCCCCTTCTCCATCTTCTCTCTCCTGTTCCTGAACATCATATGCTGCTGGAGAAATGGCACAGAGGAGGCATATTGATACCACAGTTAGTTACACAATCACTAGTTCTGGGGGGCTCTCAGAGCTGCCTGGCTTGGTCAGCTCTTCACAGTGGCAATTTCAGACTTTCTCTACTCCACACAGGTGTCTAACTCCTTTCCCTCTCCAGCACACTTGCTTCCTCCTGCATAGAAAATAAAACTCCAAGTTGATTGCTTAGTTTCACACTTCCACACCCACCCACCTCCTCATGCACTGGCCTGCACCATCCCTTTCCTGTCCTGGGCCAGTTCCTTCCCACCCCCAGACTCCGAGTCCCATGGTCTCTAGCCTTCCTTAACCTTGGCCTAGCAGTGATTCCGTCCATCTCTGTTAACACATACCCATGGCCAGGTCCTCCACTTATTCTACACGTTTTGCCAGCCGATGATATACCAGGCCCTGTCCTCAGCCCTTGGGGACACTGCAGTGAACAAATCAGACCAACTTCCCTCCTTCCCTCCTTTGAGGAGCTTCCATTCTAGGGTGAGAGTCAGACAACAAATGAGTGAAGTGGGTGATGTGTGTTAGTGAGAAAAGAACTCAAGGGGCAGCCAAATGGAACATGAAGTGTGGGGCAGCAGAGGAAAGTTTGGGAGAAGGTGGCCTGGGGAGACCTGAGGGAAGGAAGGATGAGCCATAGGCTGTTGCCAGCAGAGCAGGGCAAGGGCCCAGTGGGGGTGGGGAGGAAGAGCTGGGGTCCACGGTGGCAGGTCATGGGGGCCTGTGAGGCTCAGGGAGGACATGTGGGACTGGGCCACTCTGCCTGCTGGGTAAGTAGGAGAACAAGACAGTTTGAGGGAGGGGCGTGAAGCATGAGAGGTGAGTGCCAGGGGCTACAGAATTCACACATGTCACCTTCCTCTTAACAAAGAATGTCCATCCAGGTCCTAGTGGAAGTTTCAGCTGGGGGTAAAAGAGTGAGGGGATTTCTGAGCTGGTCTCAGTCCCACGGTTAACACTTCAGCTGTTCTCACCTCACCTCAGATTCACCCAGCTCCTTCCTGAATAAGTGCCCTCAGCACTTGGGTGGGACAGGGAGGATGGGGTAGTTGCTGGAGCCCTGAAGGCTCCACTTGTGCTCTCATGTTTCCCGTGTGAAGGAAAGTGGTGTCATCCACATAGGCTTGGCAAAGTTAAATAATTTGCTGGGGTCATGCAGCTCATGAGTGTTCAGCCAGGATTCGGTTTGGGAACCATGCTGCTTTTTTTGCTGGGCTCCCCACTGAGCAAGCTTTGGATAGCTGGGGGGTGGGTGGGAAGTGTCTGGTCAGGCTGCCTAGCTCCCATAGCAACCAGGGTATAAACACCTCAAGTTGGCAGGTCCATTTCTGACACAGGCCTCATTTCTTTTTCTTGTTTTTGAGACAGAGTCTCATTATGTCACCCTCTATAGAGTGCTGTAGCATCATAGCTCACTGTGACCTTAAACTCTTGTGCTTAAGTGATTCTATTACCTCAGCCTCCCAGGTAGCTGGGACTATGGGCGCCCTCCATAACGCCTTGCTATTTTTTTGTTGCAGTTGTCATTATTGTTTAGCAAGCCGGGGCCGGGTTGAAACCCGCCAGCCCCCATGTATGTGGCTGGTGCCCTAACCACTGAACTACGGGCGGCGAGCCACAGGCCTCATTTCTTGCCCACCTGAGATTCCCAGCCCCTGCTTCATGATGCCCCAAGTAGCTATTTTCCCTTTTAAAGTCCAAAGACAATTTCCTATGAATTAGGAACATGAGACCAGATGTGAACATTTATAGTACAATTGGGGTATATGGCTGGACACTAGAAGGTCATAGTTTATTACCTCGCATGTTTTGCATTTTGGCGGTGTTATATAGATGGCCCTGTAGCCTCTGCTAGGGCCCTTGAGCAGACCCCTTTAGGTTATCAGCTAAGGTGACCAGCTCATCCCAGGGACCCTCAGTTTTAAAATGGAAAGTCCTGCATCCTAGGAGACCCTTCAGTCCCAGGCAAACTGGGACAGTTGCTCCTCCAATTAGCTTGAACTTGCCC